TTCCGCCCCAGCCGAAGAGGACTCCACATCCATCTCGTGGGGACTCTGGGTACACGGCAGGGTAATAGAAACCCTGTGTGAGATCCAGAGGAGCGTGGCGGCCTGATCCACCGCCCACCTCTTCCCGTCTTCAAGCGCGACTAATAAGACGTATTTACGATTTCTACATTGGTGGCCTGTTCACCCAGAGCATCCGGAGCTCTGCACCGTGGAGCCTAGCAGCCTCCACAAGACCATCTGTGTTGTGTCTGTCTGTAACTGCAACTTAATCAAGCTTTCCAGCCTGCACCACTGCCATCTCGGTGTAAGTAAACAATCTTTTAAACTACTGATAAGCGTCCGTGCCTAATTCCAGAGCGAAGGCCTTCCCTCTCCGCCCCCGCGTGCCCGGGCTGCTGGCCACAGCCCGCGTGCAGCGCGAAAAAGGGCTCGGGGCGCTCCTGGCCCGCACATTATCTATCCCAAACAGATGCTTGGTCAAATAAAAGATATATTACCCACAAAAATACTAGCCTCTTACATATTCCTGGACCATCACAACTAAGCACAACTCTGACATGATTGAAAAAAAGAAAAAAGAAAAAAAACAAGTAATTTAACTTAGTTTGGTTGTTTTAATTATGACATTACTTCTGTGCTGAAATAGATCTATAATTTCTATATATTTTTAAAACTATAAAGGCAAGCCAACACACTGTCAATACGCCTTATTAAAACTTGTGCTACTCAAACTGCATACACAAACTGAATCTACACCAGGCCAAATCTGCTTAAGCAAAATTGTTGCTTGGGATTATGAATCTTGTGACGAAGCAGTATTAAACTGCCACCTTAAAGCACAGGATGCTTGGGTTTGGTAAGAGGGTATAAGAGTTTTCTTTTTCTCGCATTCATTCAAATGTGTTATTACACATGGCTCCATTATAGTACAAAATTCAGACAAATCCATTCTCCTCAATACCTGAGAGAGGATGGAGAATCCTCTCCATAGTGCCCGACACCCTTAAAAGCCTGAGATATTTACAGCATTTGCTCCATGACAGGTGATTTTTCCCATAATTAATTTTACCACAAATCTAATTTTAAGGCGTGTTAAGTGTATACATTTAAGAGATCTTGACCACATCAACCCCCTTTTTTTTTTTCAGTACAAATCACATTCTAAAGCAATTAAGTGCTTCAAGGACATGGTCACATTCTATACTACTCTTCATTTGTATCGTGTTTGGAACATAATGTAATCTACTCTCAATGCCACAAATACATTTTAGTAATATAATAGGTCTGTAATTGTGAACAACTCCAAAGTGGCAGATGGCCAACAAAAAAGTCAATCAACTGTAACCTTATTCAACACACCTTGGGTCACAATCAATAAGTGCCCATCCACCATGGAATTTTTCATCATCTGGAAGGAGTAGTTTCATGTAACTTTGCAATAGCTGGCTGATCAATTCCTGATGACTTCTCAGGTTCTCCTTGTGAAGTGCTTCATGTTCTTTCTCTTTTGTAAATATGGAATAAAGGTCTTCAGTGACGGGGTTACCTTGCATCAGATCTAGACAGCGAACAGAAGATAAAAAAGGAGCAGACAAAGATAAGTGCAATACATACAGAAATTACTTAGCGTACCGCTCTGAATAAGCATCGTTTCAAAACAGAATTTTTAACATAGCGACATTTAAAGTCTTGCCCGATTACTCAAAACCTATCAGAAGTAGGACAGTCTAAATATTATGCAATGAACTTTCAATCAGCAGATTGTGTTCAGAAGAGTAACTGTAAAAGTGTCTTTAAAATACCTGAATTACTGGAAATAATTTAGGATAGTTTAGTTTAATTGATTATATTGTATGAATTTGTTAAATGATTAAAGCAGAGTGCTTAACACAATGTACATTACTTTGAGATAAAAAGGGGGTTATAAACAAGTAATAAACCAGATTTATGCCCTACCATACTCAACGTTGATATCTGCCTCAATACATAGTAAGATATAAATCAATATGGGATTTGACAGCAGCTACTTAGCTAACTTTTTGAAAGCATGAGTCACATGCAGGAACAGTGACAAGATGATTTCCATGAACATACAGTATATATTAAAAAAAAAAAAAAAAAAAAACTGTGTTCAGTAATTTAGCTGAAGACAGATTTGTACAAATCCTCTTACCTATAACTGCTTGCCTGTAAGCATCCCTGAAGCGATTCAAGTAGTATCTGTTTGCAGAATTGACTCCATCTTTCATTACTCCTGCCAACTTCCTTTCACCTGTCCTAGTGAAGTCACCCTGTTACATAAAACATTCCTTTGAACATTTAATCAACCAAATGTGTGGAACTTATACAGCCCTGGCTCTTTTCAAAAAGCTTTAGTGTTCTGAACATTAGAACTGCAAAACTGAGTGATACTTCAGAGAATGAAGCCAACTATTCTGCATATACAGAAAACTCTTTGGGACATCCATTAAAAGGAAAAAATACCCAAGATCAAACTTGGATGTTGTGGGCACCATGTTCATAAGTGACACTATACATTTCAAGTTGTAAAAAAAAAAAAAAAAAAATGCTGACCGTTTGTGTGTGTGTGTGTGTATATATATATATATCTTAAGACAGGTCACTTAAGCTGTTCAGGCCTTGTTCTGTTTTAGTTTAGTTTAAATCAAAGTCACCACTTTTTTCAGGAGTTCATGATTCATTCGGGTTTAGTTTTTTTTTCGGGTGCTTGTGGAAAGTTGACACAGGACCTTCTGGTTTCTGTTAACCTAAGCCAGGCACCCAAATAGACAAGCTGCTTTCTTGAAGCCAGTCATTTACATCCACATAGCTGCCTTCAATCATGCATTTAAGAACCAGCTGGGATTAACAAGGCCAGGGCAAACCTAAAGCAAGGGGGGTAAGAATTCTTAGAGCAAAGGGAATGATTCCAGTCTCACAGTTTTTACTTCTTGGCATGAAAAGCCCTGACAAATAATGCTCGACTTGCAGAGATGCTGAGAATATGCAAATCCCACTGCACCCCACAGATGCCAGTTCATTTGAGTGATCATTAAAGAAAAAATATATAAATAAGTGTTTGGAATGTAAAAAAACTCCATCTGTTAGAAGAGTCATTAAGTTGGTTTCCAGTTGAATACCTTGACTGTCAGTTTAACTGAATATAAATAGCTTTGTGTAAATTAACTGAAAACTTAGGCTGAACCATAAAGCTTGTTTACGGGCTTAATATGCAAAAATCTAAGGCTATGAAAAGAAAAACAACAATTACTCCTGCCTGGCAGTATTATTAATTTAAGTGTTGTAGGAGACGGAAAGAAATTAGACCATCCCTGCTCTGAGGAGTTTACAATTACAAAAGCTTGACAGAAGAAGATTGCACTAGACAATGTACAGGTCCCCAGTATCAGGATCTGAGATCACCGGAAAAGTTTGCCAATGACTGAATGCTTTAGAAACAATGGGTGTGGTAGGAAGGGAAGGAAAGAAGAAAGGAAGATCATGGAGCAGCATGTATTGGAGAGAAGGGCCAGGAGTTTGAGGGGTCCACAATCCTGAAGCCTAGCCTTGGCAGGCAAGTCTTCATAGATCACCTTTAAATTACAACACCGCAAAACAAATATTAAAGAGTAGTTTTCCTTTTAGTTAAAATAGTTGGTTGATTCTCATCACCTCAACTAGAAAGTTAACTAGCGATTCCCCAAACTCCCCAGTACATGTTTGAAATACTACAGACATTTTGATGAAATATAAGAAGATAGTTAAAGGCAGGATTTAGATTCAGTATTAAGTAATGTATTACATTATTCTCCTCTTTAAATGTAGAGCCTAACAGGAACAGATCAAGTTATTGATAGCCAGCAATGCCGTCAGCTGAAGAGAATCCTGCCAACTTGAACCCGAGCAAGAATGTCTCGTTTTATGCAAGCAGCTTTTAACCAACTGCCTAGTGGCAATTGGCAGAAGTCTCAAGAACTATATAAATAAATGACATAAAACAAATACAAAAATTAAAGTGATTTTATGTCCATATTTAAAACCAACAAAATAAATGATATTGAATAAAAATTCAGAGGTCATGACATGTTACCTTTAAAGCTGCTGTTCCAGCATACTGCCTGCTTATGGCATCTCCGTTGTTTGCCCATATTATCTGGTAGATTCGATTGCATTTCATCGGCAAAAGTTGTTCCGGCGGCATCACGCCCAACTTTTTCAGCTGGAATTTGACACATTAATATTTATTAACATTTATTAATAGAAAAGGCCAGAGAAACAGACGTGTCCTGAAACTAAAAACTTTATAAAGAAAACCAGTGATGCAGTACACACCACAGTAATAAAACCCTGCTGACTAAAATCTTAGTCAACATTTCCTATTTACTGAAGAATTGATTGTTCTGCTACTTTCTGCCAGATATTGATCTTCCACAATATGAAAAATGACTGCCTATTGACTCAAAACTACCTTGCAGTGATCAGTTGTTAAACTGTATTCAAAAGAGTTATGAGTATACCTTAACCAATAGGAAGGCAAGGTTCTTTGGGTAGATGTGATACCTTTTATTAGACCAACAGAGTAGTTGGAAAAACGTTCTTAGTAAGCTCTCGGGCACAATCACCCTTCTTCACCCCTCATCACTAGAAACCGAAACTGCAGATTCGATGCTGATTCAGAGAATCAGCAATTCGGCCATAGACACAGCTTTAAATATTTTTTCTACATACCTTGATGTACCAGGCATGGCTTGTGAATGCTGCGATGCTGGGGCACATGGAGTGTCCCACAGGAGCATGGGGGGCCCCCCCACCGCATGCTCGGCAGAAAACCCAGAAGTGGATCAGAAGTACTTCTGGTCCACTGCCGGGTCCACCACCGAGCGCATGGGGGCCCTCCCCCAGTCCCCCAGCTCGGAGATTGGCCACAGGAGACCCCCAGGTACCCCCCCAAACCCAGGAAGCACCAGTTGCCAAGCCAGGAGGGTGTGGAGGGGCCCCCCTGCACGCTCCCCGGCAGACCCAGAAGTGCTTCTGGTCCACTTCTGGGTCTGCTGTCAAGTGCGCTGGGGACCGACCCTCCCACACTCCTGTGGGACAGTCCATCCGCCCCACCATCTCAGAGTTCACGAACCGCCTGGTACATTGAGGTATGTAGAAAAACCACTTAAAGCTGTCTACATCCAAATCGTTGAATCTTTCTGAATCTCTCCGAGTCGATTCAGAAGGTTCTGATTTGATTCGGATTCAGAGATTTAGCCACTGAATCAGGCCAAGTCTCTGCCGAATCGAATCAGTGACCAAAGCTTCACACAGCCCTATTAGCTATGTACACTGCCATTTTCTTAATGCCTTCATCAGAGGATAATGCAACCAATGTTGAGGGGGCCATAGAAAGAAGATGTTCATTAAACATAGAAGTAAACTCATTAAGGATCTTTTTCCTCTTACCATCCCTTGAAAATACCCTCTCTGCAAAATGACAGAATAATCCCAGAAAATAATGGCTTCTCAATAACCAACTTAGAATGCTTGGGGGATGGAGAATTTTTGCCTAAGAAAATGCTCATCTCTGAAGCCCATCATGCACCTCTGCACATCCATCCCAGAACCCAAGCATTCTTCAGAACAATACATTTAAAACCCCTTCTTTTGTTTTAGAACAAGCAGTGACCACCTTAAATAAATAAATAAATAACTGTCCTTAATTCACTGCATGATCAAAGTGAGAAAAGACATTCTGGGACTCATAATACCACCCTTTTTCTTGAAAACATTAAAACTTTGCCTTCCAATCCTGAAATGTTTTGAACCTGGTTCCAAGGTTTTATGCATGCCTTCTCCCCAACCCCCAACTCCATAGGTCTGCTAGATCCAGACCTCCTCCTTCCCAAACACAAATGCTAGTCTCCCTCCTGCCCAAACACAAATTCTATTTAATTTTAAGTAAAAACACGCAAGGTATTCAGCACATGTAAATTTACAAGTCATACATGCCTGCTGCTCCATGACCACTCGTGCAATTGCAGCCTGTACAACATTGGTACGATCCAGACAGTCCATACAGTTAACCCGAAAAATTCCTTCCTGTTTACAAATCACACCGGCTTGATCAACCCTTTTGAGGAAGGAGAACAGAAGAGGAAAGTATTATCAACTGAGAGCTCTTAAATGTGCAGGAAAATCCACACGTTAGAAAACATGTTCCTATTAAAATCAACCGCAGAACCTTCAACTCAAATTCATTCATCGTGCCAGTTATAACTCTACTCATCAGCCCCACTGCTCATAATTATTTAATACACTTTCTTATGTAAACATCATTTTACACTGCTTTTCCTTGTTTCATTAAGGTTTGGGGTTTTTTTTAAACAAAGTAACATTCACCTGAGCGTATTCAATACCTACCAACACCACTTCATGTCAAGGATGATATCATGAATGGCATCAGTTAACGTTTGAACATTTTCAAACTTCATCCCTCGGCTAAAATACAGAAGTATAGGAAACAAATTTTCATTGAGAGAAATGTATAGTATTGTAATTTACATATAGATTATATGCAAGCTACATATGAAGCAAAATAATAGGATATCCACAACCCCACCAAATTTGGGGTGTCATGCAGGTTTTCTGTGTTTGTAAGTAGTCTCATAGACAAGCTAATGTTATACCGTATTTGTTTACATCCCTTTTATCTCTGTAAGGATTACAGTATACAGTCTATATACATCTATGATTTTGGACATGGTTTAGTCAAAGGAACTGAGGGATGCCTACTTAAGGAAAGGGGAGTAGGCAAAACTAAGTATCTCTTGCTATTGTGTCACTAGGGCAAGAACTACTGTGGTTCCCAAATGCAGGCAAAAGTAGCTATTATTAGGATGCAGAGTTGCTGGCTGTAGCTATGTTGGTCTACAGGCATAGGCAGACAAGGTTCGTTGGGCAGATGCGATATCTTTTATTAGACCAACCGAGTAGTTGAAAAAAATATTCTTTGCAAGCTTTCGGGCACAACCACCCTTCTTCAGGCATTGGGAGGCTCCAAAGATATTGAACGTCTGTAATAAATAGGAAGTTCAACCCCTCAACACTGAAGAGATCTGGAGTAATGGGCCATTAGCTAGAGGAATCCCAGATGCCTGAGGAAGGAGAGAAATTTCTAGAGGAAGCTGAAACTCATAAGCAATTAGGACACCGCTGATGGAGCAAGGGGCTGACTTGGAGGTATTTAGGGACTGCCTAGGAGACCATCCTGATCCTTGTTGTCTATGATGAACATGACCTCAGGCTGAATGATATTCCAGGCAAGCCCATTCTACAGAAAGGGGGGAACTAAAAGTCTTTCACGGCTCACAGGGAAACTATATGGAGATAGCAGATTTTCCCATGCCGCCACTGTGGGGTCTGGTATAAGGGTACTGGAGCCAAGGCTTGAGGAGCTAAAGAGTTATCCCAGGACAAAGTTCAGCCATTTCCTTGGGATAAACAGTGGGGAAAAACTTAGGGCTCTCCCCCCTGAACAGCTTTGTGATGGTAGTAATTGCAGTTTTCAAACAAAATGAAAAGTTTCTCAAACTTCATAAATATCAGATGCAAATTAAACCACACAAAATAATCAACCAGCCATGCCTATCTTGTTTCCAACCTCTCAACTTCTCATTTGAATTATTATAGGATGATTAGATTTTTGAGGCGACTATAAGGTGTTAAAGCTCAAGTCCAAACCAAGAAGTGACTTTAAAAAGGTAAGCCAATTCTTTTGGAATATTTCATCCTGAAGGCCTGAAAATAAACGTAGGGAGCATGCTGTCCACTAGAATGCAGCCATCCCAGTATGAAATGCAACAACCAGTCTACCCTAGTCGCATTATATGGCGGGACAAAACCCCTTCTGTGAAGCCTGATAACTGTGAAGCATTTAAACATCCTATGCCAAGGTACAAGGGTCAGAAAAAAGGAACACAGAAACAAACACCATGACTGCCCATGCCCCACAACACCCATCCTCAAATCATAGCATCTGAAAAGGCTACTACTACTTGGCAACACACAGGACTAAGAGGGTAAAAGCACGGAGGGTAATTAATGGATGAAGAACAGGCACTCTTCACCAGCACCACTTGTAGATACATACTTGTTTCTTTATTATAGGGAAAAAGTCATGTTGACAGGGGCTCGGATTCCCTATTTTTGTCACGCTATATCACTTGGGGAAAGATTCTAAAAAACCTGCCTGAACTAGAAAAATCAGCAGCACTCATTAACACTATACAGGATGTGCCAGCTAACAGTTTCAAACATAGCCTATTAGTCTGGACAAGGTCCCAGAACAGAGAGAAAAATCTGGAGGCATGTGAGGATCTGGTGGGCAAAATACATGGAATGGACAAAGGCAACAAAACCAAAGGTCTTTAGAAGTAACGAGAACTGAAAAAAATGGTCATGGAACTATGACAATGAGGAATATTTTAAAAAGTTAGCTAAAAGATGCTTACATGCTTCACAGCCATCAACTTGTTCAAAATGTTTGCCTCAAATACATATCCTTACTACTAATACCTTTCTGTTGCTGTATCTTACCTTAGGAACCAGCTACATTAGGGATTTTTGTTACAGATATAAATCTCTAGTATGGAGGCAAACTTTGTAACAACCTGGGAGTGTTTATTAATCTTTTGATGACATGAGACTGGCTCCCTGCTCAATTCTGCATTGCTGCCTGCCTGCCAACAAAATTAAGTCGAAGTGGACTGTGAAGGGATTGTAAAATCTGGGAAGGAAAGGCAAAACAACACAACTCATTTAAAAGCAATGTACTCAAGGCTAATTTAAGGAAACAATGGCTAGTACCATCCAGACAAGAACAGAGAACGCTCCCAAAGCTAAGTCTGAGATCAACTGAAACCCGAGAAAAGGCTAGGGGTTTGGTGAGGAGGGGCTGTTGGCCTAGGAAAAAAGAAAAAGCACACTACACGTAATGCAGACTGTTGCCTACAGGCACTCGTACACACCACAGGTTTTAATCCTCATTAAATTAAATAGGTTTATAAAATTTAAACTCATTTATTTTGGAGCGTCACATCTATGTTTACACACACTAGGTTTTCAAACGAATTAAGCCGGGTTCCTGGCCAGTGCCACTGGAAAGCAGGATGGTCCAGAGCTGCCCCACCCACCCCATGCCCATGCTCTGCCATGCAGCTGTGGAAGCAGGGAGCCAGCAAACCAAAAAGCAGAAGCAATTCGAAAGCAAAAGCAACTCAAAGAGGTGAACTACAAAAAAGTCACAGCACCATCTGGTGGACAAAGAGGTGTGCCCTTGTGTTTGAATGCAACGAATCTATGGACACAACACTTTAATTCCTGGCGAGCCAAACTAAACTATGTCCAAGGAGTTTTAGTTTAATGCACAAAAAAGAAATTTTAAAGCATTGGGAAATCCACTCGTGCAAACAGACACAGTTGCAGCGCATGACAGAGCAAAAATTGTGGTGTGTACATGAGCCCTACATGAGTAATAAGCTAGTCCCTCTAAGCTATAGAGGTTGTTTGAGTCACTATTCAGGTGCCATCAGTAGCTTCCAAAGGTGGATATTTACAGTTCATCCACAACAGAGCTTTAGGGGTGCTTTCTGCAAGATCTTTCTTGAAAAAAAAGCGCAAGGGTGAAGCTACCCGACTAACCAAGACTCAGTGCATTAGCAAAAAGCAGGGGTAGGCAATCCCCAGCATGTGCGCCAGAGCATGGCATGCAAGGCCGTTTTGCTCGGCACACTACAGCCAGCCTAGGCTCCAGGCAGCTGCCACCAGCCACAGAGCTCAGGCTGCTCACAGCAGGCAGTCAAGAGGCTGCAAGCAGCCCAGTCTCCATGGCAGGCAGCAGCTGTCCAGAGCCTGGGCTGGCTTCAGCTGGGAAGCTGGAAATAACTACACCGGACTCAGGGCACTGGCTAGCCTCTGTGGTGGCAGCGGCTACACATGCACCTCCAGGGGGAGAGGCCTGAGGCAGCGCAACTCCAGCCCCTCCCCCTCCTGGAGGCATGCTTACAGC